TTCTTCATGTTATTTACAGGATCTGCAGTCTCAGAAACTGATTAGGACAGGCCGTAGGAAGGGAGACTATATATTTTGAATGAGTTAAAAGTGCCAGCTGCTGCTGCTGCTACTAGTGTTGATTTGTCTTATTTTCATTTGAGTCATTCTTCTTCTAGTTTTTATTTATAGTATTCTCGCCTAGATCATGTTTCGTCTTCTCGTTTGAGATTTTTAGCTTCTACAGAGGCTTTAGGAAATTTGTAACTTTGTGATATTTCTGATTGTAGTGGATGTAAACTGGCAAAATCTTAAGCTTTACCTTTTAATAGAAGTATTTCTATTTCTTCCTCTCCATTTAATTTGATTCATTCTGATGTATGGAGGTCTTCTCCTATTGCCACAAAAGGAGGATCTCGATATTATGTTTCTTTTATTGATGATCATACTCATTATTGTTGAGTTTATTTAATGAAACATCGTTCTGAATTCTTTGAGATATACACAACATTTTGTGCTCTTGTCAAAACTTAACATTCTGCTATTATCAAATGTTTTAGGTGTGATTTGGGTGAGGAATACACTTCTAATAAATTTTGTGAGTTGCTTGCCTTAGATGGAACTATTCACCAAACTTCGTGTACAGATACTCCTGAACAAAATGGTGTTATTGAAAGAAAACATAGGCACATTGTTGAAACTGCTCGCTCTCTTTTGTTGTCTGCTTCTGTTCCTAGTGTGTTTTGGGGTGAATCTGTTCTTACTGGTGTAGGTTTGATTAATACTTCTATCTTCTCATTTTTAGGTTTTTCTCCTTTCGAAATGTTGTATAGGTATACCCCTGATTATTTTTCTTTAGAGTTTTTTGTTGTACTTGTTTCGTTCTTCATCCTCATGTAGAACGCAGCAAGTTGTCATCTCGATCTACTATTTGTGTCTTTCTTGGTTATGGTGAAGGTAAAAGGGGTATTGTTGTTTTAATCTAATAACTCAGAAACTTTATGTGTCTCGTCATGTTGTCTTTCTCGAGCATATACATTTATTTTCTATTCCATCCACTACTCATAGTTTGACCAGATCTGATCTTATTTGTATAGATCCTTTTTCTGACGATTCTGAAAGTTTGTCATCTCAAGTTCCTAGTACTTCAAATATCCCTTCTCATGTTCTTACCTCGTTATCTTTACAACCAGTTCGTACTGATCATTCTGTATGTACTGACACTTTACTCTCCAGCACACTTGAAGCTCCCACTTCTCATATAGTCCCTCAAGCTCCGTCTGAGACTGTGGATTCACCTCTACGTCAATCCATACGCATTCGTAAGTCTACAAAGTTACCAGATTTTGATTATTCTTATTATTCTTCATTTATTACTTTCTTTTTAGCTTTTATTCATTGTCTCACTGAACCCTCTTCCTATAAAGAGGCAATTCTTGATCCTCTTTGGTAGCAAGCTATGGATTATGAACTTTCTACTTTGCATAAAACTGGTACTTGAGATTTGGTTCATCTACCTTCTGATAAGAGTGTTGTTGTTTGTCGATGGGTGTATAAAATCAAGACTAATTCTGATGGATCAATTGAACGATACAGAGCTAGGTTGGTTACAAAAGGGTACTCTCAACAGTATGGTATGAATTATGAGGAGACATTTGCTCCTGTTGCAAAAATGACTACTATTCATACTCTTATTGCAGTAGTTTCGGTTCGTCAGTAGCGTATCTCTCAACTTGATGTTAAAAATGACTTCTTAAATGGAGATCTTCAAGAAGAAGTTTATATGGCACCCCATCCTGGTGTTTCACATAATTCTGGATATGTTTGCACTCTCAAGAAAGCGTTATATGGTCTCAAACAAGCACCTCGTGCTTGGTTTGAGAAATTTTATATTGTGATATCTTTCCTTGGATTTGCTTATAATTGTCATGATTCTGCTGTTTTTGTTAAGTGCACTGATGCAGGTCGTATCATTATATCTTTATATTTTGATAACATAATTATTATTGGTGATGATATTGATGGTATTTCAGTTTTGAAGACAGAGTTAGCTAGACAGTTTGAAATAAAGGATTTGGGTTCTCTACGATATTTCTTGGGTATTGAGGTAGCCTGCTCACCCATATGTTATCTTCTTTCTCAGTCGAAATATGTTGCAGATATTCTTGAGTGGGCTAGACTTACTGATAATAAGACTGTTGATACTCCCATTGAGATTAATGCAAAGTATTCTTCTTTTGATGGTTTACCTTTATCAGATTCTACTTTATACCGTACTATTGTTGGGAGCTTGGTATATCTCACTATTACTCGTCCAGATATTGCATATGTTGTTCATGTTGTTAGTCAGTTTGTTGCTTCTCCTACAATAGTTCATTGAACAGATGTTCTTCGTATTTTGTGGTATTTTCGGGGTACAGTCTTTCAGAATCTTTTACTTCCACCCACATCTTCCTTGAAGCTGCGTGCATACTCTGATGCTGATCAAGGCAGTGATCCAACAAATCCCAAGCATGTTACTGGTTTCTGTATCTTTTTGAGTGATTCTCTTATTTCTTGAAAGACCAAGAACAATCTATTGTTTCTCAATCTTCAACCGAAGTAGAATATCGTGCTATGGCATCTACTACCAAAGAGATTATTTGGTTGCTTTGATTACTTGCATATATGGGAGTTTTTCCTTCTCATCTCACTCCTGTATATTGTGATAACCAGATATCTATTCAGATTGCTCACAACTCAATTTTTCATGAACGAACTAAGCACATTGAGATCAATTGTCACCTTACTCGTCATCATCTCAAGCATGGTATAATTACTTTGTCATTTGTTTCTTCTTCTTTGCCGCTTAAAGATATCTTTACCAAGTCGCATCATATTTCCCGTTTTCGTTTTCTAGTTGGCAAACTCTCGATACTTGTAGCTGTCGCATCGTGAGTTTGAGGGAAGATGTTAAGAAATATAGGATTATTTTGTTTTATTGTTTATTAATGTAATTTTATTTCTCTACCTGGTATAGAATTTGAGCTTTTAATTCTCAACAAGTTTGGCTTGACTCTGCTCGTCATGTCACGCTGGAGAGGTGGGCGGTGCTGATATGTTGACTCTCTACACTCGAAAGCTTCCCACACGAGCCCTTCTCTCTTTTATCTTTTTCGTTTTTCTTTTTTGAGTAGTTTACCAATAGAACTTAAAGAATTGTTGGTCTTGATGTCTCACTCGGCACAGCAATGTCAGGCCTTTCATTTTTCTTCGTAGGTCGAGACAAAAAAAACTAAATAGATAAAAAATTAACTTGACAATGAAATGACGATATAAAAATATATAATCAACTATAAGCATATCAAAAATAAAGTTTATTTATTGTTGAGCATGAAAAAACGACTATTCCAAGAAACATCATAGAGAATTTGTGTATATTATATTTACATTAATTGAAGTAAATATGAAGTGAACTTCAAAGAAATAGCCAACAAGGATTGATGTAAAATTTTGTTTGCAAAGTTAGCAGAAAGTCAATGCAAATTTCAACTTGGATTTCATCACAAAGCAGCCTCTTTCGAATTTTTTTGGTTTTTCCATTCACATTATCCTATGACAGACTTTCTTGTCGGCAAGAAAACTATTCATTTTACTCAAAGTCTTGGTCGTCCTCAGTCAAGTCTTTTTCTTACCAGCATGTTATATATACGCCATTTGATCAACTGCGATATTACTCACTTTTAAGACCCAAACCACTATTATCTTCAACAAAGATATTAAATAAAAGTTCTGTTATCTTTTTTTCTCTCCTTTTCTCGTTTTTCTTAATCTTTGCTAATTTATTTCCAGTTGGAACATCTGGAAGGAGCACAACAACCCCTGAGATCCAGACCAGCGGTAGATCCAGTCTACTCTGTAAGTGCTTCACAAACTTTGTCTACTTCTCATTAATTTTGTCTCATCTAAAAAAAGAACTATTTAGTTACCCTTTCATACATGTTAGTTTTCGAGCTTTTCTTGTCGGTATGGCCTGAGTTACTCAGCGCCTGTTGCACACTTGAGACATTTCATCTACCATTTCTTATTTCTTTTCCTTGTGCCTTCTTTTCTGAATGTAGACGTATGGAAAACAAAGGGTGAGGTTATTGGAAGAAAACCGCCACCGGCAGGGAGTGCGTTTCTACCGGGTCCACCAGGTTCACCAGAATGATTTATCAGCCCGCCTCTTCCATAATCAAGTTTAAGATGATGGATACAATAGATCATATATTTGGAGATTATATAGACTTTGAATGAGCTTGTTGTTTACTCCTGTCTTAACTTTAATCATTTGGTGTCAGTACAAAAGGAATAAGAATGACCAAGGAATCAATAAAAATTGTTTCAGGTTTTGTCCTTTTCCCCTTCAATTTTAACTTTATATGCACCAATCCGAGTGCCTAATTTCAGTAGAAAAGGGAGTTTGTGGTACTTCTGATAACTACCGAGGTACCCAAGTAACATATGACCATCGCATGATTCTTTTACGATCTAATGGACTAAAGAAGTCGACCGGAGATCTAAGTGTTACAAAAAATGGAAGCTTTAGGACTTTATTCGACAAAAAAGGGCCGGCCGGGAACCTTGTCACCACATTTGGAAGAAGATGGATTTTTACCTGTCATTTTCCCAGAAACAAGCAGCTTTCTTATAAAATACATATAATAAATAATGGCATGCACAGTATATTTTTGCCTCACTCCATCACCATAAAACGAGTCTTACGAGACAATGAACTGCAGCTATTAAAATTAATACTTATTCCTTAAAAGTAGTAAACTTCAATAGTCTACGCTAACAGTTCCCAGAAAAAACCATCTAGTTTCCTTCTCCTTTTCCCATTATATTGTTTAATATCAATCGGGACCGATTTAATAGATCAAATCTTTTTGAAAGTGACAATTAACATGGGCATTTTCCAACCATAATAATAGCTGTGAAGCAAAAAGCAAAAAGACAATACAGTAGTTGCATTCTGAGAGTAAACAGAGAATGTCATCTCACATTCCTGCTGTGGATACCTGCTTTAATGTATTAGCAATCTCTTCCGCTGTTGCGTCTCCATTCACGTTGGCGACAAGCTGACTTTCTTTTGGAACTACATCGTCTCTTAGGTAGCTTCCTGCTGTTCTGAGTAAATCCTCAGATCCTTTCTCCACGACCCCTTTTAGAATAATGGTTTTATGGGTGCCGGCAATCAATTCTTCGTAATCTGTGTCTCCGGTTTCACCAAGTATCACATACATATTTGCCACATTTAATCGCCACCGGACAAAGAGGTACCTATAGATGGCGTTAACCAGGAGGAAAAACAAAGATCAAAATCCAATAACTCGTTAAATTGTGATTCTAAGAAGAAATTAATGCGTGTAAATTACAAGAACAACAGTTCAACGAAGAAAACAATGCTGGATATGCTGAATTTTGTGAAGTGCATGACGTGCCCTTATTGTATACCATACTGAAGACGCCTACCATTAAGAGAATATGCAGTTGAAGAATTCTATTATTTGCCATAATTAGATGCCCTTTAACCTATAAAATTTACCTGAGAGCCTGTGAGCGAGATGCAAGGAGAGGAACAGCTAGCATTCTTGTAGAGTTTCTGCAATACATCAAATGGCAACGGAGTCCACGAATCCTAAGCTTCTGCCTCATATCATCCACTTTTTTTGCCTGCAAAAATCAAATATCAATCTATTATACCAAAAATCATAACTATATGTACCTATCCTAAAACTTATTTGTGTGTATGATAGGGAGGATAGAGAGAGTGTTGGACAATATCAAGAAAAGAAATTAAAAATCTTGTTCTATATGCAATCTAGTCCTATCCAATACTGGGTATCAAAGATGCATTATATGTACCTTGTTGAGATCCTTTATTAAGTAGGATAGGCAATGAGAATTACTCGATTTTGCATCCTCTTCAATAACAGCACCAGATTTCGCATAACCTACTGGTGTATTCATTAGCTTCCAAATAGTCTTTTTCAAACCATCAGAACCCCACCGATAATCAATATGTGATGCATGATCAGGATCCAAAAAAGGCTTTCCACTGTCTTCAGGGTAATACACTTCACTACCACTACTACAGATTAAAGCATCAAAATCACTAACTTTAATATTCCCCGACAACAAAAATTCAATCAATTCTGATATAGGCATGGCTGTCGATACTGCAAATCCCGTTAATCTTGCATTATGTACGTCTAATTTAATGGCCTTAAAAAGATTTTGTATTATATGAATCATCTTTTTTTCAGGTGCTCCATTGATATCATAGCAATCAATTGCTATAACGATCAATTTATGACGCCGCCTCAACATTGGATATTTGCTCAAGATATTGTCAGTCGGTGGCATTCCGTCAACTTTGGAATCCTTTGTCCCCTTTTCTTGCCTTTTCATTTTACTCATGACGAGCTTAACTCTATCTTGCACGTCTGGGTTGTCCCCAACTGCAGCCACTTCTAGTGATTCATTTAGCGAAGTTCTCTCTCCATCAATGGATAGCCTTAGAGACATATCTTGCACGTCTTTAAGCGAATCATTCAGGGATTCCTCAGCTGCCAGGTCATCTGTTGATGAGTCAGTTTGCCACTGAGGGTGCCTCATCCGACATGATGCCACCCTTGTCAAGTACGTTCGGCAATGTTCTGGCCATGAAAACAGATGTATGTTTTTCCAGCCATTACTTCTGCACTCATGCCACAAGTTCTTTTCCGACACTAACTTCAGCAGTGCATCGGCGATGACTTGCGGATCATGAGGGTCCACAAGCAGCCCATTGTTCAGTGCCTACATTACATAAGAAAGTTGATCAAATGACAATTTTTATATTTTTATTTCACCACTCTTTTCTACTCATCTAAGAACCAAAGAAAGGGATTAGATGCCTCTTGACTATGTATAGTTCAACAAGGAGTTACTTTACCCGATGAATATCGACTGGACCACCATTCTTAGTTGCCACTATTGGGAGTCCATGTGCTGCAGCCTACAGTATTCCAGAATCAGATTTCAAAACTAATTCTACCAAAAAATTCAGTATTAGAAAAACAGTTGATCTGAATAAACCTCAATCAAGGTAAGTCCAAAGGGCTCGATGAAAGCTGGGTTTATGAAAACTCCCTGCCGCATTTTCAATTAAAAATTAAATTAAACAATAAAGTATAGCTGTAAAATTCACGTTGCAAAGAGCAGGACATTATTAACCTTTGTTTTGGCAGCCAACCGGTAAATGTCTGGAACGTCACTTTGCTTGTGATGTTTCGGGAAAGCCACTTGCCCATAGAGGTCATACGTATCAACTAGCTTCAGCACTGTAGTTAGCACATTTGCACTTCCAGCAGACATCTCGTCTATATCATCCCTATTCCCCATTATAAGAGTCTATACAAATGGCATTGGTTAAAAATTTAGCAGTGTTCTCTGTGCCCATGTATGCATAACAGACTACGAGCATGATTTTCTATTGAACTTTATTGCTGTACTTACAAGATTAGCAAGCTCTTGTAACGAGCGGGATTCTCCGAAGGCTTTGACAAGAGTGGTTATGTTCTTTTTTGGATCTGGTCTTGACAATGCCAAAATCATTGGCTTGTGAGGATTCGTTAAAAAACGCATAACCTGAAGGAACAAAATGTTTATAGTTTTGAAAGTCGAATTGTTTTAAGGAATGGGAAATCATGAAGGCTTTGGTGCTTACTTCTGACCATATAGCCGGGACAGCTTTGGGGGACTCACTGTTGGTTAGCCCTGCAAGGTCCCCTTCGGCTTCTACGTTATCCTCTTGAACCTCAACGTTGCTAAAGTCCATCCCAGGAGGAATAACCTACAAAGTAATTCCATTAAAATGCTGAATCTTAATGTTTAAAAGATGGACTGTGAGTATATGTAGCGACAGATTGAGGAGGCGAAAAAGTGTTGTCAGCACCAAATTTTTCCAGAACAACTCTTAGTTTGTTGCATCTTTCACCCCAAATATATTGAGAACAAGTTTTTGAAAATTCACCACAGTTCATTAAATGTTCAGAATCACATAAACTAGGATAATAAAACATTCATCAGTTCAAAATTTTGAGATGCCTTGCTCACCGCCATTCTAGGCATAAACCGACCATGGCAATTGACCCCACGTCTCGCACGTGCCCTCAAAACTTTCTCCAGTTTTATGTCGAATCCATCATATAGACCCCATTGTTCTTCAATCTCCTGCTTAGTGCTCGTGACAACAAGCTCTGCAGTATCTAAAGAAAGCTCTTCAGCTTCTATCCTCCTCATAATCCTGTATGTTGAATTAATATCCTCTTTTGATTGTCTTCCCTGCTTTAGAAGTTGTTCTAGCTTGTTTCTGCCCAATGAGTGTCCCGTTAAAACCATTGGGACATTTAATGCACCCGAAAGGAGAGCAGCCGCATCACCTGCATCTGCATAATGGCCATGAATAACATATGGCCAGACGGGCTGACCTCCACCGATTTGTTCGCCCAAAGCCTTTGACATATTAAGAATGTGACACAATGCTCCATCAACAAACTCCTGAACATGAGGCCACAATAGTTCTTTCTGAAGATACTTGTCCCGAGGACCAAAGGGTATTCTTACAATGTAGGCCCCGCTGCTTTCCCCTAGATCAGCACTATCCGCATCCTCTGAACCGATAGTAAGCATCTCTGTCGGCTCACCATAACTCCAATCCACTTCAGGCGAGGAAACTTGTCTCGTGAACAGATCGACCCTATATACACCCGGCATCTTAGCCAGTGCTCGAGAAAGTTCTACAACATATTTAGTCTGACATTTAATAAAAGAAAGTTAAAATCAATGATTGGACATTTATTTAATCATAATTATCCAACGGGAAGTGCTTTACAATACCTGACCTCCAGTATCAGAATCACGACCTAGCTCCATATTTTCCCCACGGACTAATCCATGTAAACTGATTGAGATTTAGCAGCTTTAGTAAGAAACTATATGTTAAATCCATACCCCCTATATCAGGAAATTTAATGCCTAAACTAACATATTAGTGGCAACTAAGATGTAATTTGATTTAACCACAATGAGAAAAAAATCTAGACACGTATTATGGTAACTAAATTCCAAACTCTTCATGTGCTTGTGAACAATTACGTTGAGATATATTGTACTTCATGAGGAGAATATAAAGGTTCTTCGTGCGCAGGTGAACAATTACATTGAGATAGACGTACCTAATGAGGACGATATAAAGCTTCTTCTCATTTTTACTGTCCGACCATACTTCGATGTTGGAGAAGTTCCGTTGGAACTTTTTCCGTGGACTGTCGACCCCAAGCTCTCCCGGACCATCTCCTTTCTCTCCTTCAGACAATTCTTCAGACATGTCCTCAGTCACATCCTTGAGCCCCTGTTCTCGTTCCCATCTCCAGTTTGCTAACCTTTGGAAATCCTCCAACTCCAACTACCAAAAGATAAAGTATAATGTCATTTTTATGATTCAGTTGGATGTGCATTTGGAAGCCGGTTAAATAAAATATAAACAAGTGACGCGATTCACCGTAAAGTATCATTTTCACGAGGTTAATAAGGACTGGCACAAAATAAACCATAAAATTAGAAGAAAGTGCTAATCAAACAGCTACCTATATGGAAATCAAGATATGAGGAAGCGTCAATTGAATGGTTTTCCATTCATGCAAAATCAACCATCGACTAACGGACTATCCATTTATGCACATTTCTAATATGCATTTGAAGATATGGTTATTGATAATAAACCATAGAATTTACATTTCTAATCCTTGCTTCATTTGTTGATTCAAATACCATATATATACAAAAAGATGAAATTTTAAATTATTTGCAGCATATTTTCTGAATTAAATTGTGAGATTTCATTACCTATTAGCTCCCACATAAAGCACACACGACTGAAATAAAAACAGAGGAAAGGGGGAGACACTCAAACAAGAAGAAGTGCAATTTTCACTCTATCCCCTCTAATCCCCCCCGACCTCCATCCCAGAGAAAATCAACAGATTGATATCAAAAAACCCAGCTCTGAAATTACCCACTTAAACAACACAAACACACAAATATATCTGTGTGAGTGTATATATGGATTCTATGTAATGAAAAAACCTGTTTCTTTTTGCGGGTAAGATGCCAAATGCGCCAACACATATTCTCGAGCCTGGAACTTCTCTCTCTGGTGTTCCTTGTAGCCACCACCTTGATCCATGTTCGATGAAGATCAGTTTCATTAACCCCCGTTACCACTTCCTCTACAAAGTACTTTGTGGGATTAAAATTGCCTCTATCCCTCACGTTCACTGGGGTCAGCTTATTTTCTTCTATGGCTGTTGCCCCACTGTCCAAAATAGCCTCCAAGTACCCATTTATCCACTCGTTCCCAGCCATATTTTGATCTTATTGTTCTTATTCTTCTTCTTTATGTATAGAGAGAAACGAAATGGGAGCTTCAAATGCAAGATTTAATATTGGCCATTTTTGTTTAGTTGGAGCTTTAAATGCAAGATTAACGTGTGTATGTTTACCTGTGAATTGTGTTGTGTGTGTGAGTGTGAGTGTGAGTGTGAAGGAGGGAAAGGGCGATCCACATGGCAGTTAATGGTAGGACCCCAGTGACACGTGTAAGGTAGATTGAATGAGGTATATCATTGAATACAATGTAAATACATACATATGGTATTTGTATTTTAAGGTTGTCCGGTTCTCAATGCTAGGGTGGCGCTTTGGGAAGTTTCTCTGTTAAATCCAGATTATTCATTATCCCCATAATAGGAAATTTACCCCAACAATAAAAAATAAAAAAATCATGGCCAAATTGGAGTGAGAAGATGGTGGAAAATAAAAGCCTGCTTAATAGTTTTTAGAATATTCCTTAATTTTTGTTGTCATCTTGATATACAAGGTCTACTAGAAAGGAAAAGTCAGATTAAACTAAAAGTGAAGAGAGTTGAGATATGTTGTCCCTACTTGATTGTCTTATTTACCTTTTTCATTATGCTAATCAAAGCTCACATATTGAGTTGTCAACATTTTATTGGCAGGACGGTCGATAAAATAGTCAAATAGAGACTACAAATCTCAATTCGGGGTGAAAATTGAGCTCAGGGGTGGCAAGAGAATATAGGGTTGAATGGATTAGATACTAGTGGAAAGACGATGGTTTGTTTGACGGTTGTGTTTTAATCGATCAAAATGCTTTTTATTCACATATTTTTAATGAGATTCAAAAATAACGATGACTTATTGATCACATATTTATAATTTAAACAAATTATAAACAACTCAAAATATGTTTAAGATTTGATACTTAAAACAAGTGTGTTTAAAAGAAAATTTTAGGAGTTAAATTCTTTGACACTTTGATAACATGGTAATTTTAAAAAATATTGATAAAAGTTATCTAGTTACCTATTCAAGCAATTAATTTACCAATTTATTCTCAAATTCAAATTCTTCCGTTGTTTAGGCTTTCCATCAATGTATTTTAAAATATTTGGGCTCTTTTTATTTCCTCTTAAGGGAAAAATTTATGGATCAGATATTATCTATCATGAAATCAAAAATCAGGCCTCAATATTTAGAATTGCAAAAATCATGTTTTTTCATGAATTAATTAATTATATTTTACAATTATTATATTTAATTAAATATTTAATTGTAATATAATATAATTAACCACCCCACTCCACCTCCACCACCTCTACTGCTCCGACGACTACTCCGGTGGCCGGCGACTACTCCGATGACTACTTCCCGACCACACTTAATTCTGACGATTATACCGATTTCGAGGTCATAGATATCTTATTGAGGTCACAGTTAGCTTAATACAAATAACTGCTCCAATTCCAAGGTCACAAATATCGTATTAAGTTCACAGTTAACTTCTTTAGTCACTCATCAAAAAAAATATAAGATCATAGATATCTTATTAAGGTCACAATTAGATTAATTCAGATAACTGCTTCAATTCCGAGGTCACTGATGTCTTATTAAGGTCACAGTTAATCAGATAACTGCTCCAAATCTGAGGTCACGGATATCTTATTAAGGCTACAGGTAGCTTCATTAGTCACAACAATAACAAAAAACGACGACCCAATTCTGGGGTCACAGATGTCTTATTAAGATCACAGTTAACTTCATTAGTCACAAAACCTCAAGAACAGTGGAGAGAACAACCACCCCAAAATATTAGATCCACGCATTCGCCACCAACAGCCAACATCCTACACCACCAGCCCCCTATACCATCTCCAGCATCACACTCACCACCACCACCACATCCCATCCCATCCCTCCACCGCCACCTTCTCTCCCAGACCGCCCACTTTATTATCACAGCCACGATGGAGTAGAACCAAAAGCTTCCTTCAAACCAAAAAAATGAATATCGAATGATTTTAGTAATTAACTAGCTAATCACCAGTGAACTCACAAGAAAATGAGTTCTTATTTTAGGAAAACTTCAGAAAATCCCCTCTCCACATACAATCTGGAGCTAATTTGGGGCAAAGTAGCACTTACTGGATAAAAAATGGAGGAAATAACTCATATCTGCATAGCCCCATGATCTGCACACTGCTACGCTGCTGTTATTCACAGCAGCGTCGACACTGAGCATCGTTGCTGCTGTGGTCGACTTAGGGTTTCAAAGGATTATTTATTTAATTAAAATGATAAAAAAAACAAATTTTTGAAAAGATAAAAAACCTGATAAATGGAAAAGAAACCTGAAAACCTAAAATTTTAAAATGTGAAATTAAAGGTCTGGTTTAAGGTAATTTTCCCGGGCACAAAACGTAAGCAAATTTATAAGCTTAAACTGAACAACCAGACGGCCCAAACCCAGAGGCCCTTCGTCTTCTATTCTTCTTCTTCATGTTCCAACTAAGCAGTTGCCGGCCTCCTCTGTGAATGGAATTCACTCTTGTCTCTTGCTCTATTTTTT